TCAAGCACCTTTCAGTCCATCAGTGGCTTCGCTCTGCCATCCCTGATTCACAACAACCAACCTCTCCTATAGGTTTCCTATTTTTGAAACTTCCGCCACCGCCTTGTGCGGTACTACTGGTAATACTACTACTTTTAATACTACTACTATTACTATTACTACTATTAGTACTACTACTACTACTATTAATACTACTACTATTAAAATTATATTGTACTACTAGTAGTACTAGTACTTCTACTAGTACTACTACTAGTACTCTACTAATACTACAACTAGTACTAGTAGTAGTACTAGTAGTAGTACTAGTAGTAGTACTGGTAGTAGTACTAGTAGTAGTACTAGTACTAGTACTAGTACTACTACTACTACCACTACTACTACTACTACTACTACTACATACTCATACTCATACTCATACTCATACACATACTCATACTCATACTCATACTCCAGCACTACACTTATTACATTGCATTACGCTACAACTACAACTGCAACTGCAACTACAAGTACATGTACCACTACATTACACAACGCTACACTACACACTAATTGCACTACACTACACTATCACTACAGCTACAACTACAACTACACTACTACACTACACTACACTATACCGCACTACAGTACACAACCCTACAGTACCCGGCGCTACGCTACACTAATTACACCACACCACAGCTACAACTGCAACTACACTACACTAATTACACTACACTACAACTACAACTACAACTGCAACTACAACTAGAACTACATATACCACTACATTACACAACTCTACACTACACACTGATTGCACTACACCACACTACAACTACAACTACACTACTTTAGATTACACTGGACTACACTACACTATACCACACTGGAGTACACAATGCTACAGCACTACACCTGCAACAATTACATTACACAACAACTACAACTACAGCTGCGCTGCACCACCCTACATCCAGCAGCCGCGGGCGAGGTGACCACTGCAACCATCGCAACCACCCCAGAAAACACAACTCCAACCACCTTTCGGTCCATCTGTGGCTTCGCTCTGCCATTCGTGATTCACAACAACGAACCTCTCTTATAGGTTTCCTGTTTTTGAAGCTTCCGCCACTGCCTTGTGCGGTACTACTGGTATAGTATATGAGATGTATAGCATGTATTCATATGTTTATTTTCAATTTGAGCAGCCATCCTTGGCCTGGGATGGGAAGAGGATGATTGGCACGAACACTTCTTGAAATTTAACTATGAAATGCTTTGCTTGAAGAAAAAAGGATAATGAGAGATTCACACAACATTTTGATGTTGGTCCTTTTGCATGCTTTTCAGCTGAACTTAAGGTGCCAGCATCAAGAAACAGGAGGAGGCAGAACAATTGAAGGCAGACTTTGCTTACATGTCACAAACTTTGAACGATGAACTTGCCGCATCACAGTTCAAACTCAATCATTGCATGCACCAATGGAATGTGGAAAGGGTGAATTTACGACAAGTGAACCCAAGGACAGAACGATTTTAAATGAATTGCCAAAAATCTACGTTTGCAGTGAACGTGATCCGGAATAAAAAATCAAACAAAATCCACACTTGTATCGTTTTATACCTCCTGAGTAAACTTGAGGTTGGTTTCACGCCTTGCAAAACCGGGTAAGGGTGGACGCCGTGTCTTCCACTTTGATTCCCGTGCTATCCTGTGCTGCCTGTGTTACCCTTTGCTGATTGTGACACCTTGCATGTTGGAAGAGAACTTGCGAAAGTCGACAGCTCAGCAGGCCAAAGCAGAGGCTGAGCGGAGCACAGAGCAAGAGAAGGAGTGAAACACTTAAAAAAAAGGGTCCTGGAAACAGCTTAAACTGTTAGTTAAACGGTTAAACACTTAGAAACATTCAGAGCTGGTTTTGTTGTCGCAGCTAGCTGCTAGCTGTTACACACACTTGCACAGCACTACGTTGTCGCGAATGCACTTGGCTCTTGCCCTGTGCTGTTTGCATCATCTCACTCCAACATGTTCTTTACGTGAGCGCAGCATGCTGCAGTCATCCTTGCAAAACAAGAAGGATTTGACCTGCAGCAAATCATCAAAACACTTCAACAAAATGCTTCTGTACTTCCGAGATGTTGCAAGAAAATGTGGATAAATGTGGTAATATGGAGAACTCAGGCCAGCACCAGCGCCACCTCCAAATCTCCCTGGCGAAGTCTCACAAGGAGGCCGGACCTGTGCGACATCGTGGCATGTGAAGCCAGTGCTGAAAACTGCAGGATGAGTGTATGTTTGCCGTTTTTGCCACTTTGTTTCTCTTTATATAGTCGTGTCATGTCGTGTCTTTTCTGCTCAGTTGAACCCAAGACTGGAAGGTCTCGCAAACGTTGGGCCACAAGCAGCCGCAGAGCCTGATTCTCCCAAAGCACCAGAAGTGCCGTGACTTGGCTGCAACGACTGCATCATGGCTCCACCCATGGCTCCACCCATGGCTCCACCCATGGCTCCACCCATGGCTCCACCCATGGCTCCACCCATGGCTGTACTGTTTATCTTTGTCTCCACTCTGTGACTGCCAAAGGCAAGAGAAGTCTCAAGCTTCGCTCCGCTTGGCTGCTGAAAAGGTTGGGAGTGAAGGGAAGTGAAAAAGCAAAAGCAAGGAAAAAGAAAAAAAGAGCACACAAAAGCACAAGATGCAAATTAAACCACACGACAGTTGCAGATTAAAACGGGTTGGGAGCACCATGGAGCACCCTCGTATTTGCACAGCACCTCTAGGCAGTGGATGCTCGCAACCAGCCTGCCCCCCCGAGCGGGAGTCTGAGTTTCTTGAGTTGTAGAACAGAATAAACACAGGATCCGGCATGAGTTCATGATATATCAATATAATTCAATATATATATATGTATATATCATATGATATACTCTTGAGCATTTTCACTGACCCTGCCAGTCTACTTGGTGCGAGGCAAATCGAGAGCTTGCATCATCTTGTAAAGATGTTGTGGCCGGGTGCGCACACACCAGAGATTCTTGTGGCAGTATCTCTTTGAGGAGATGTCAAGAGGTCTTCTTTGACACCGATGCTGTAGGTTTGCGCCTTTGCGACGACGTGATCTTCAAGTGCGGTTTCACTGTTTCACTGTCATCGCTTTTTCATAGATAATGCTTTCCAGCATTTGTGAGCCTGTTGCTCCGGTACAAGACCCGACAAGGCCAATTGAGTCTCACGCATCTGTGTTCCAAAGCAAAGCTTTGGTTAGTTTTTTGACGACAAAGCTACCAATGTACAAACCGTGTTGCAGAGCTTGTGAGAAGCGGAACTAGATTGCAGGGACATCCAGTGGTATCTAAATGTACAGTATCCAATAATTGTTGCGTATGATGTCCAGCTTCCTGCAGCTTCTAGGTACCAAGGGCTCTTACTGCATCACTTGTCTTTGGCATTGCTCGAGGCACTTCCTCTTTCCTTACAATTCCCTGCACTGAACTCACTAACAGTCACTAACCTACACTCAGATGGTCTGAAATTGAAGTTGTGGCTATTCAGCTCTGAGCCATGAGTTTGATGCATCCAAAACATACCTTGAGTGGTCTGTGGCCTTGATTCTTGAGCCATGGCCGAGCTGAGTAGCTGAAGGGTCACTTTGGAATGGTGGATGTCCAGCGCTTGGAAGAGCAGAATTCAAGCGGTGCCTGCTGTGCACTTTGGGTCCTGCACTTTGCTGATCTCTGTTGAACTCTTTGTTTTAAAATCGGTAAAGCTTTGTTTAATGGTTTAACCTGCTTATGATTATTTATGATTCATATGATCACTTTCCATAGTCCATAGCCTCAGGACACAGCAATCCCCATCCAGAAGGACATTGTTCCGACTTCCGAGACTGGAGGAACACCTCGCAGATTGGCGAGCTCTTGGTGTTTCTGAGAGCAACATAGTTTAGAGATGTTTAGAGAAGAGAATGTGCCACCAATGGACCAAGATTTAAGTGCAGGACGACAGCTATGGAACAACGGCCGATTCAAAGAAGCGTATGATGAGTCTCCTGCTCAGTCAGTTACTTGCTCCTATGCAAAGATTCAACAAAGATAATACTGAGCAGTCCACCGCCGATTGGTTTGGTATATTGCTTGCCACGGTTGCCACACGTATCACCTTTCAATAGATTCTCAATGATGTATAGAATTTGTGAGATTGCAAAGCCTTTGGTGTTCTGTAGGCTGGGACACTGCTTGGGTAGTGGTCCGGTACTCAATAGCAGGTCTGGCTGCTTGTACTCACTTGTGTCTTGTTGGCATGACGAGGTGGCATGGGAACCGTTTGGGCTGCCCGTGTGAGCGATGCAGCTTCCTCTTCAAGGTAGGAAGCATGATGAAGCATTCTGAAGCATGATGTGGCAGGATGTGGGAGGCGGCAGGCCCTTCTGCATATAAGGAAGTTCTAAGTTCGAACGGCATGCGCAATCTCACAGGTACAGAGGGCGTTGGGTCGCAGTGAAAGCCATTCCAATACTGTTGGAGCCTTGGGTATGGCGAAGGGAGACTCTGCAGATTGTTTCTTCCACACAGTCCAAAAGATATTTGGTCGGGTTGTAGCCGTGCAAACAGGCTTCCAGAATCACATGCTGGATCAGCCCTTCACCAAGGCATTCTGCAGACTGTCCATGGGGCTGATGTAGAGACTGTATAGACTGTGTTTACGTCGCTTACGTGTCCTGAGTGTGCTCAAGTTTTGCAGGTTTGCGGGAATGCCTCTCCACATTCCAAGATTTGAGCGGGCGCCCTTGGGCTTTCGAGCTTCAGAGACTTGAGCCTTCGGTGATTTTTCCACTCCTTTGCTCGTCTTGAACTATTTAAACTATTTAAACTATTTATTTACTTCGCACCTTCTAATGATTCTGCCTGCTCCCTGCATGAGTTGTAACTGCTTGAGCACAGCAGAGGCTCAGCTCATGTTGTTCGCTATGAGACTTACTGGCTGGAGGAGCAGAGTCTCTGGAACGGTCAAGTGACTCAAGTGTGTCAACTTTGAATCTGTTTATCAAAACCCCAGCATTCTGTTGACTCTTTTGCTACAAGACCACGAAGCACCAATGCTCAGCCTCCCTCTTTCTGATGAAATCATTGGAGTTTGCTGTTTGCTATTCCTTCCTACACAACGCCACAACGCTGCATCAAGCAGTACCCGATACTTGAGTGAAGTTGCCCTGCTCATGTCAAGCCAGGCTTTTGGAGATCTGGATTAAGTAGTTCTGTGTACGGCCTTTGGGATTTTCTGGGAAACATGTGCTAGTTGTGTGGTGCGAATGGGGTCGGCTGACTTCAAGGGAGGTTTGTTAGCTCAAGCCAGATCCCAAAATTGTGCTGGGCAAACGCGTCAACCTTGATTTTCCTTCCACATTATCACATTTGGAGCCTATTGCAGAAAAAACTTTGGATCCTTAAGAGCCCACCACGGCTCAGCATGGGAGCAGCATAGGAGCCAGAGCATTTGCCTGAAGAGATGCAGCAACTGCACCGGCCACCTGCAGCAGCTGCCTCAAAGAGAAGAAATGCACAGCAGACAGCGTCGCACAGCATAGCATACGTAGCCTGCATAGCATCAACATTTTCAAAACTGTGGTTCTTCAATCTTCATTGGCTGTGTTTTTGTGGTGTCACTTTGGGCAGAATGTTCAGCTTGCAGCAATCTGCTTCCAGACAGCTCTTTTTTGAGGCACACTTGAAGAAGGAGGCAGCACACTCCAAAGTAAACATATAATTTATTTATTTATATATATATAAGTCATATATTATATATTATATATATAAGTTGTATATATATATATATAAGTTATGTATATATAAATAATATATATATATATATATGTATGTTATGAATATATAATAATAATAGCAATAATAATAATGATAATAATAATAATAAATATATATATATATATACATATGCTATGAATATATAATGTAATATAAATATGTATATGTATATATGTATATATGTATATATGTATATATGTATATATGTATATATGTATATATGTATATATGTATATATGTATATATATGTATATGTATATATATATATATGTATATATGTATATATGTATATATGTATATATGCATATATGCATATATGTATATATGTATATATGTATATATGGATATATGCATATATGTATATATGTATATATGTATATATGTATATATGTTGTGAAACAGGTTGGATCTAGCCTTTCAGAATGCTTTGGAGTTGTTCATGCTTGAGGTGGTTGTGCCAGTTCTTTGTTCACTGCTCGCAGGTTCAGGAGGACTCTCCGTGGGTCTCTTCCCTGCGCTTCCGGGTGCTCTCTCTATCTCTCTTGTGTCTGTCACATTGACCAATTCCTACTGTTTCTGTCAGGCCAGAGCTGGAAGTGGGAACGCATTCAGGCAAGGGTTTGAACACGTTTGAAGACCGTTGATATGTAGCTTAAACATAACTCCATGATCCTCACGCCTCACGTCTTTGAAGCTTTTTTTTTCCACACTGTTTCAAACGTTTCAATCCTTTTTGTCTCTTTTCCATGGGTTTCGCCTCCTTGTCTCCATGCAGGCGTACTCGCACCAGCGACGTGTATCCAACTCCCCCGGGGCTGAGTGGAAGTTTCGGGTCGGCGCCCCAGACTCTGCTGTCCGTAGAAAAACAAAGTTAAGCAATTATACTGTAATTAATTATATTCTTCAAGTGAAGACATGTCAAGACTGAACTCTGCTTCCTGTGGATTCAGAATGCAGAGATTCGCCGCCACGGAAGGTTTATTTGGGACATGGAGGGCGTTCACCCAGACATCTCGCACCCTCCAACACCACCAAGTCGAGTGGTGTGGCAGGACACGAATTTGCAAGAATCATTCATACCGATTCATACCGTAGGGCCGTAGGGCCGTAGGGCCGTAGGGTGGCATGCTTATATACACCGCGTGCAGACCCATCAATCGTGTGTGTCCCTGCCAAAAGTGAGTTTGTTTATGTTTCTTTACTCGGAGAGCTGACATTGGTTGAAATCCCGCCAGGATGCAAAGACGGCGCCCAAACAGGTTGTCTCCGACTTAGCGCATTTCTTCTTTAAGAGATGATAGGAGATGTACACAAGCTTTCTGAAGACCTTCAGACTGGAAAGAGATCAAATTCCTCAGAAATCCCTATCAAGGGACCTCTCCATTCCATTTGCAGAAACGCTGCTGCTCCAAGGCACATTTTGCAGGAACAAAAATGATTCAATAGCATTCAATCGCATTTATTCCTCAACGAGGCTATTTTTGCATGCGGACTCGATCGCATTATATGTTTTTTTCCTTTTTGCATCAAATGCCTTATATGGACACATTATGAATCACAATGAGACAGTGGTTTCAGTTGCCAGCCAATTTCCAGAACACTTTTACAAATTTGCTTTCCATCACCGTGATAACAGTAATCTCTAACACCCTCGAAAACTGGCGTCCTGCATGGAAATATCTTGGCAAAGGTCTTGCTGATCGAGATGGAGCTTATGGGACCAACACCAGATGGAAGCGTGTCAGACGAGAGGCTGGTTATGCTGGTTGTGTTTTTGCCTTTGCAGATTAATTCGGCCTGATGCTCCTCAGCGGGTCTGACATTGCATCAGTTGAGGCGAACATTGACCCTCCGCTCCTGGTTGCAGAACGAGCAGCGAACGCTCTCGGATGCAGCTGATGTATTTGGATCACTCATGCTGAGTGCAGCAAGCTCAGAGTGCTAAACCTCCACTGAAATGAGACCCAAAAGAAGCGAAAGCATTGGAAGCGACTGCCAACATCTGAAATCAAACGAGGACGTAAAGAGCTGCACAAAAGTAGACGTATCGTGTGAAAATGGCGGTGCAGTGCTGCTTGAGGTTCGGCACATTCACCGCAAACGCATCGTACACAGTGATTTAAAGCGCAGTGCTTAATGGTACCAGTTGAGTGATGAAATCAATATTCATGCCGTTTCTGTTTCGTTTCTTGACTTCTGTTTGGTGCCTTGACGTGTTATGTCTTCAAAGCCACTTGCTGCCCTGCTTCATGTCATTAGAGGATATTAGAGGGTCCAGAGTCGTGTTTGCACTGCTTTTGCAATACTGGGGCAAAAGGCATTTTCTTTTGCATGTTTAGAGATGGCCATGGAAGCTTCCAGCCGTGGCGGCACTGAATTGGGCCCAAGAGTTGGAGATCAGAAATCAGTGTCACATTGAAAGACTTTGGAGATCAGAAAGGAAGGTCGGAAGGTTTGTACTTTGGCGATCCAAGTGATTGGGCCGCAATGCCCTTTTCAAGAGCTCAAGTTCTCTGCGTCCAGAGCGAGTTCAGACCGAGGAGTCAAGCCTCGTCAAGTGATCCAATCGTCCAATCATCCAATCTCTGCCAAGTGAATCCAAGGCCAGACAACATTTTCTGCGTGGCAGAGCGGTCCAAGGCGCCGGCAGAGCTCGCAGAGCTGGCAGGGCTCAAGAATGAACGTGGCACACGTCGCACACACGGCACACCTGACTTGCATGTGGCACACATGGCAAACGTCGTGGCACATGTGGCAGACGTAGCACTTACCCTCCAGAACCGTCAGCTAGCCGCTAGCCTTTGTTCAGGTCGTTGTTCGGATCGGTGATTTTGGGCTTGCTGGTCCTCAACTCAAGAGTCTTGCGCACACCAGCGGACACCTATCCATAGTTATAGTTGTGCATCTTTGCACATTCACCTATGTGCACTGGGTTTCCGCGCTGAGGCGAAAACCAACTCTTCCGCCAGTTCGACCAGTTTTCCTCCAAGATGTAAATTGCTTAGTGCTCCAAAGCGGGATAAGACAATTATAGATGTTGCAAGTCCAAAAAGGGAAACCGTTCAGTGGGTTCGATGGCTTCAGTCTTTTTATCCGATTTTGTCCTTGCGTCCTTGCACTGCGAATTGCAACACATGTGATGTTGATTTGAGCGCGAGAGTTGAGAGAGCCGTAGCTTAGGACTACCAAAGCTGGAATGGGTGGCACTCCTGGATACACTGCTCCGGACACTCACACACTGTTACCATCTGTTACCTATAGCATCCAATAGCTGCTTGTGCCAGTACAGTCAGTGTTTTGGAGTCGGCGTTCCAAAAAATATTGCCCTGTGTCAGTATCAAGTATTTTGCAGATTAGCCAGCAGTCATGAACAGAGCTGTATGAACATATTCGGTGGCTTGCAATGAGAACTCTAATGCAGGATGTACTGACACGGCAGGAGATTCTTCTATGCGTGCGAAATGGGCATGGAAATGGGACTGCATGCTCTGACAAAGTGGATATCTATTCTTGTGTCTTGATTGCAAATCACAAGCTGAAGTGGATTTGGAGAACATGTGTTGCCCCGCAACTTTTTTCTTCAATTGGTACCTTTCGAGTTGGCTGACTGATACAGCATCTATTGAAGCGGAAAACAGACAATCCTTGATGTTCATACTCCCTGGACTAGACAATAATTTTTCCGGTAAGCATCATTCTGCCAGCATGCTTTGGTGAGCGCTAAGATAGGTATGCTTTGTCCAAATGTGTGGAAACATTTGCCACACTAAATTTATTGAATATGTAGGATTGATGCAGCAGCTACTATCTATATAACTTTTCTACCCGTTCTCATGATTTCGTGATGTTTCAGTTCTTTCAATTGCGTAGATTATGTCATCAAAATCACACAACATTTGTCAACACAGCAAGGAATTAAGATTGGAACAAAAGTTCAAAAACACAGCTGTCTTCACGACGTGCTTGAGCACGACAAGTTTTTGTAACAGCGGGCACCGAATGCAGTCAATCAGTTCACCTTCAATAATCCATTACAAACTCGAACAAATAAACAAATCCCGAAATAAGCATAATGCCACCATCATATTTGTGGGTTAGGTTGAAACTGGACAGGCTGCTTTCCGTGCATCTGGAAAGCTATGCTTGTATACTTGACATGTAGATGTATACATTATACATCTGTTGAAATTGCTATAACACATACTTGGTCATACACCTGTTTAGTTTGATTCTGATTTGAACCATTGCTCATTACGCCATCATGACTAGATGGCTTGGCCAGAACCATGCTGTTTACTGTGTAAATATGCTCAGTTCTGGTAGGATGCCATTGACAGAATTTACAACATGACCCTCCCGGATGACCTGGCTGTGCAGAAACCAAAATAGTGCTTCCCACAGTTTTTTGAAAGAACTTGTCCACAAGAATTTGCACATGTCAGTGCCACCAGCACCAGAATAGCTGTACCCTGTTCGTGACGCACCAGCTCTGTGCAGACCACAAAGCACTTACTCTATATAAAATTTGCCGAAAAATGCAACAAGCAATGCAATCATATCACACGATGATCCAAATATGCTCTGTATAAAGCAGAGCAATTTAAACACCTGTTCCCTCCGCCATCAGTCCATCCTATGTTCTGTGGAGCCATCAACACTAGCTGTCTTGATCCTGTCAGTTCCTCCCAATGCTGGTCGGGTGTTTCTAAAGCGACGTTGCACAGCCGAGCAGTTGTGCGAATTGTGAACAATTCTCCTCTTCTCAGGTGCCGTGATCCTGTTGGAGCTCTTGCTTCA